GACTCGCTCTTGCTATGGATGTAACAACTCGCGCTGCCTCTTCCCTTCATTCTTCTTTTCGATGTCGCTTTCTTTCTCTCCGTGGTCTCGTGCAGGTACGGTGGGAACCAATTTCACTGGCCCCGGCACTGGTGACGTCAACGCTATAGGCTTCTTTTTTCTCAGCGCCTTCCTGTAAGCTTCGCCATTTTTCCCCTTCGTTCACCCCTCACTCTCTCAACGTCCCTCACTTCTCGCACCTCTTTTTTATTTTCTTTTCTTTTTTTCTTTTTGTTCCCTGGTTACCCTATCCCCTCACTACCTGCCCGTGGCCTAACACCCGCCCCTCCCTGCCCCTCCTCGCCCACCCCTTCCCCTCCCTGCCCATCCCTGCCCCTCCTTGCTCTTCGCTGCCACCCTACTCCTCAAGAATACCTTAACTAACGACTACCACATTCGTTTCCACGTCGACGTGACGCTAAGCAATCCTGGCGATCCCAACAGCGTCGTCATTAAGAAGGTCAATGACGTGGCACTCACCGTGGTCTCTAGCAACGCCACGTGGACCAATCGCACACTCTCAGAGGCCGAGCGTGCCAAGCTGGGCGGCAAACTGACTCCCAAGGGCAAGAAGGGCAAGAAGCCGCCTCCCCCGCCGCCCCTCTACTACAACTACGTAACCTCCGGCACTTGGTTATGTTGAAATGTATTTGTATACATTCATATAAATGCCTACAGTAGCCTAGTGTAGTTATCTTAGTTTCCTGCTAGGTGGTGTACCATTTGCCTAATTCCTTGCCTATATCTTGTATGCCCTCTACTATTGAACCTCTCTTTTTGGCTTGCACTTTTCCTCTCGTCACTCTCGCCTAGGTCAAACCCTAGGCCCCTAAACTATTATGTTTGACATGGTACAGAGCACGTAACATCCTGGCCTGCTGTTTTTTCAACTACTCCATGGGCCCACCAAGTCTTCCGCTGCTGTCCTGCCTATCGCGCGCCTCGGGCGCGCGCTGTTTTTCTGCCCGTCGTGCGCCCCGAGGTGCGCGACGGTGCCCTGCCTGCCTGCCCGTCGTGCGCCCCGTGGTGCGCGACGGTGCCCTGCCTGCCTGCCCGTCGTGCGCCCCGTGGCGCGCGACGGTGCCCTGCCTGCCCGTCGTGCGCCCCGTGGCGCGCGACGGTGCCCTGCCTGCCCGTCGTGCGCCCCGAGGCGTGCGGCGGTTTCGTCGCCTGTTGCGACGCACCGGGGGCCCGCGCCCCCCCCCCCCCCCCCCCCCCCCCCCGCCTTTTCCCGTCGCCCGTCGCGGTGCTCTGGGGGGCCGCGCAACCTGGGGGGGGTCGCGCGTCGCCCCCTCTGTCGCCCGTCACGGCGCCCTGGGGGGCCGCGCGTCGGCCCCTCCCGTCTTCGTCGCGGCCCTGCCCTGCCCTGCCGTCCTGCCCCGGCCCTGCCCCGCACCTGCTGCTCGTGCGCCAGTGAAAAAAGGGGGGGGAGGGGGTGGGGTTTGCGCGTGGGTGACACATCTCCTGCCGCCGCTGTTCGCCTTTTCCTCCCTCTCACTGCTGCTCGTACACCCGTGGGGGGAGGGGGAGTGTGAGGGGGTGGCGAGAGAGATTCTGCAAAGCCAGCAGCCGCCCCTCCTCTCTCTCTCACTACCGCTCGTGGCTGTGGGGGGAGGGTAAGAGAGGGTGGCGGAAGACATTCAGGAAATTGCAGCTGCCACCCGCTGCTATCGTGGCACCTCCTGCTGCCGCCCCTGCCGCCACCTGCCCTTGTTTCTGCTGCCTGTTGCTGGGGCCTGCAGGTGCTGCCGTCGAGCCGCTGCTGTCCTGCTGCACGTTGCAGCCTCAGAGCCTGCTCCTCAGGCGACCTGCCGCCCCTACACCTGCTACTGCTTCTGCCTTGGCTGAAGGCGTGCTGCAGCTGTATTTGCCACCAAAGCACCGACTGCCACTGTTATTGCCTGCTGCTGCTTCTTCCACTGCACCTGGTGTACCCCTGCAGACTTTGTGCTACACACGGGTTTCCACTGTAGGCATTTAGGGGGTGTGTTGAAATGTATTTGTATACATTCGTATAAATGCCTACAGTAGCCTAGTGTAGTTACCTTAGTTTCCTGCTAGGTGGTGTACCATTTGCCTAATTCCTTGCCTATATCTTGTATGCCCTCTACTATTGAACCTCTCTTTTTGGCTTGCACTTTTCCTCTCGTCACTCTCGCCTAGGTCAAACCCTAGGCCCCTAAACTATTATGTTTGACAGGCTAAACGCCAGTACTTTGAAGGCGGATATCGGGCAGACTTACAAGGAGCTGATGGATGCCTTGCTGGTTGCTCCTGCCATTTACTCTGCTCGTGTCTACACCAAGTGGTTCAGGAACTGTGCTGCAAGCGGATCTTTAGCCATGCTCGCCTAGGATGGTCAACAGGCCAGCATATTAATAATACACTGGTATGAAGGCAATTCACCTATTTCTATGATGTATGTATGATAGGGTATGGTATATGTAAGTCTGCAGATATAAAGGATGTTGTAAGAGTATAGCCTTTTGTAGCAGCTTGCATTTCATTACTTCCAACGCCTGATGCCTCCTTGACTCACTATCAGATAATGCATGGGTGAGTGGGTGCAATGAAAGGTACCAACCACCTAACTCAAGCATCCCATCTCTAGCTTCACTATTATTTGGTATCACCTAGACTTTGTTACCGTATGTCCGTTCATCAATGAAGTTGACGTCTGTGTACTGCGGCAATGAACCCGCTTGACAGCTTGAGGGGGTGTGAGAGATAGAAGCTGGCTGCCAGCTGCACGTGGATGTTACTCGTTGTGCTCCCTGATATTGTCAGCCTGTTATGAACACCTTCGTTTTAAGCTGTCGTTAAGCAGGTATAATCGATAGAGAGAATAGTTGGCACTGTCTCTATCATGATTTCTAAACTAAGACATCTGGTTTTGTGCTCGTACAGAGGTGTCCGTACTCTTTATAGAGACTTTTGCCATCCCCTGCTGTTTTTTCATGCTGCACCACCTGCGCGTGCATCTCAGGGAATAATAGGTCAAGCCGAGGAAAGCAGTTGGCCAAGTTTATTGCGGGTGCACCGGAACAGAGCATGAGGCTCCGTGAGGAAAGGAGGAGCCACCAGCTTCACCTGAATTTCCCCTTGGGTTCTGATCTGACCTGTGTGGCGAGGCAATTCATCCTTCACCTCTGCAATGTGGGACTAGAGAATTTCGCTTCGACTGGGTTGCCCGTACCATCCGTGGTCGATTGGATCAGAACAAAATGATGACGAAAGTGGGAAATTGAGAAGTCAGCAGCCCCAACCCTCTAAACTTATATCCCACTGATGTTTACAGAAATATCAAGGTTGGGTTTCCACAAATTTCGTTTGTTGTTGCCCGCAACCGAGCCCTCAAAATGTTTACGCATGTCACACGCTGTGCGGTTCCCTTTCCCGCCAGGTGCCCCGCTATATGCGTCCACCCGAATCTCGCAGCGCATTCTCTTGGTTTCCCATAGCCTGCAGAGTCTAACACGAGAAGGCGAGGAACATTTCCGGAAACCGAAGGTTTTCACTGTATACCGCTAGTTAACATTCCGCACCGTACTGAAATGTCTACAACTCTCTCGAACGCAACCAGCAGTTGCCCAGTTTTCCTTGCTGAGGATAAATACCACTCGACTAGCAAACGAGATATCACCAGTTCCTTCGCACCTGCCTCACACAACCTGCGTTTATTCTCATATCCTTAGGAATCGATTCAGCAGCTAGGGAATTTGGTCTGCCATGGGGCTCCGCCCTTACCTCTGCTTGTCAATGTGCCTCCTAGTTGTCACAGCATCCATCAGTGAGTGATATATGAATATTCACCTTTGCTACAGCCGAGATCACCAGCAGAATCCCTATGAATCAATCACAGCGAGATGCTTCATCTTCCATGAGTCCGCTACATTGAATAACTTCTTATTTGCAATTTCAAAAGCTTGTTCCATGTGTGCTTCTGCTGTGCAGGAATCACGACCGCACGCCCTGTGAATAAGGACAATAAAGGCGGGAAGGAAGGGCCCCCGGATGCAGGCCCGTGCCCGCTGCCCAAGCCAAAAGATGCTGAGCCTCTCGGGAATCTGACGGGTGAGAACTCTCCGGGAAATCTGACGCATGATAGGAGCTCGGGAAATTTCTAGATGCTTGGCTAACCGTGTGGCATGTCCTTACAAGAATCCACGCGTTGGTTACTGCTTTTACAAACAAAACAGCAGCTTCCCTCCTCTTCTCGCCTCTCATCTATCCTCCTGTCTTTTTCCCCGCACTCTCACAGTCCTCTCCGCCCTTCTCTCACACTCTCTCGCTCCCCCGCTCCCATTCCTCAGCGTGCCCTCCTCTTGCAGAACACCCCCCCCCCCCCCCCCCCCTTCAACCCCCAATCCCCATCCCCCTCCGTTTCCGCGCAGCGATTCTCGCCGCGCGACTGAACGGATCCAATGTGGTTGGGGCGACGGGCGACGTCAACGCCACTGGCCGAATCTGCCTCGCCGTCTTCAAGTAAGCCAGCCACCTGTTTTCTTTCCGTTCTCCCTCGACCCACGTCACCTGGTCCTCTCTGCTGCCTTCCGTCCCTCCGTTGAATAAACTGAAACCTTCCGTCGAACCCACATTATCATCCCGAGAGTGCCTTCTCCCTGAGCGGTGCGCATTCCGTCCTTCCTTCCCGCTCGCTTGTGTGAACCCTGACGGAAACCGCCAGGCTAGACGGCGACTACAACGTTTTCTACAGTGTCGTCACCTCCACCGCCGACGACGGCGAGCCGTTCGGCGCGACGATCTCGATCGGCGCGGCGGGAGAGGGGGGCGACGCCGCCGCCCTTTTAGTACAAGCAGGAGAAACCGCCACGTGGGCGAATCTTACCCGTCCACCGCCTCCGCCGCCCAAGGGCAAAAAGAACAAGGGAACACCGCCCCCCCCGCCTCCTCCGAAGTACACTTATGCGTCACGCGGGACGTGGCTTACAGCGAGTACAATGGCCACGATCGGCGGGCAGACTCTAAAGGCGCTGGTGGATGCGATGCTCGCGAATCCGGATGGTTACTACGCGTCGTTCGCGACGACTGGTTATGACTCGGGTGCGGCGCGGGGGCAGTTTCAGTCGGACCCGCTTCCGCCGCCGCCTAAGGACAAGCAGGGCGGCAAGGACGGAGGAAAGAAAGGAGGGAAGGATGGCGGGAAGAACGGCGGGGGGAAGAATGGAGGCGATCAGTTCGGCACTCTTGTCGGTAAGCGCATAAGAAATAGAGACTTCACGTCTTTCCGCTCCAAGCCTTCTCCGCTGCTTTTCCTCGCCACCATTCATACTTGCTTAGGAATCAACCGCCAACCGTGCATTGTTTCCTTTCTGTGATTCCGCGATTTCGTGCAGGCGTGATCGCAGCGCGTGTCAACGGCTCTAATGTTGACCTCCAAGGTGACGTCAACGCCACGGGCTGCGTTGACCTCGTCATCTTTCTGTAAGCTTCTCCTTCTCTCTTTTACTCACGTGTACTTCTGCTCTCTTCTCGCTTCTCACTACTCACGTCACGTCTCATTCTCCTCCGTTCACCCCTTACTCTCTCAACCTCCCATTACTTCTGGCATCCTGTTTTTGCCTCTTGTTAGCTTTGCCCCTCTTTACCCGCCTGTCCCATGGCCAAACACCCGCCCCTCCCTGCCCCTTCTCGCCCCTCCCTTCCCCTTATCGCCCTTCCTTGCCCCTCCTTACCCCTCCTTGTCCCTACTTGCCACCTCCCTCAGCAACGCCACAACTTACGACTACGACATTCGTTACCACGTACGCGTCAGTCTGAACGACTCTGGCGAGCCCATTGGTGTCGTCATCAAGAAGGGCGCTGACGTGGCACTCACTGTGCTCACCAGCGACGCCACGTGGACCAATCGCACGCTCTCAAACGCCGAGCGCGCCAAGCTGGGCGGCAAACTGACTCCCAAGGGCAGGAAGGGCAAGCAGCCGCCTCCCCCTCCCCCTCCCCTCGGCTATAACTACGAAACCTCCGGCACTTGGCTAAACGCCAGTACTTTGACGGCGGATAACGGGCAGACGTATAAGGAGTTGGCGGATGCCATGCTGGCTGCACCTGACACCTACTCTGCTCTCATCTACACCAAAACATTTGAGAATGGTGTGGCGAGCGGCGCTTTTGGGAATGTCACAAAGGGTGGTGGTGAAGCGTCTGGCAAATTGGCAGTTAAAGTTTGGTTTTATAGAGTTGCCCGAATCATCAAACATCACTAGAACTGTACTACCTTCTATAGTTACATTGGCGGTTAAATTCCGGGTTTATTGACTCAATGAGAGCCTCAGTTTGGAATATATGCTAGCCAGAAAATCTCATGTATCGCCCAATACTATGGCTCGGTTCCGGCAAGATCATATGCTTCAGCACACCCACAACCATGCGTTTCAGCGCACCCGGGCATGAGTAGCAGCACCTGCTCTTTCACGCGCCGAAGGGTATGAGCAGCAACAGCTGACACTGCAGCAGCCCTAGGACAAAGTCCAGCCACAAGCAATCTTCCAGACCCCACTTCCTGCCCCACTCTCTCATCTGCCCATAGGTCATTAGTCGTGTTGTTATAAGTGAAGGATCGTAGTAGATAGTGTTAGAATTTGAAGTGATTGAATAGGATCGTATACTTAGGATGGTAGCTTCCTGTTGTAGCGGAAGTCTTTGTATGAATTAAAGCCAGTGTAGGAGGCTTTGTCTGAGCTTATTATGCAAAGCTCATGTAGTGATATGTTTCAGGATCTATGTCTCTTAAATCAGATATATTATAAAATGACAAGCATACAAAATATATAGCTAGAGTAAATTATATATTTGCCTACTGTACTGTGCTATTCACGCTATTCGTGTTCTGAAACGGTACGTGACTATTTGCGAGGCCTATAGCTACTTGCTGACGTCATCCCAGGGCGCGTAGCGCTTTGCTGGCGTCAGCCTATCGGTACTTTACTATTACGTGCGAAGTCTCACATTGTACTAACTGTGCTACACGAATTCCTTGAAGTGCTCAAGTCTCGATATTATCTCAACACTCCCCTTCACTTCTAGGAGTTCGGTGTAGTTACCCAGTTGTCTCAGAAACTCCGCTGAGCTGGTTGCAGTGGTGAAATTTCTGTCGTGTCAGTTTCTCGGTAAGTGAGTCAGCTGCCATGTCACCAGTGGGACAGTAGACAAGGCGCATTCTCCCCTTGTCGATCGCATCCTTGACGAAGAAGTAACGCAGTGAGATATGTTTCGTGCGATTGACGAAGCCGGGCTTGTTGGCGATGGTAATTGCACTCTGGTTGTCGCACTGCAGCGTAAACTGATTCGGCGTGACAAATTTTGCTTCGTCGAGTTGTCAAACATAGGCATATCTATGTTATATTTTTGGTAGGCTTAGTGGGGTACACCGTACACACTGTGGGGTACAACCAGGGCTTTTTTTTGGATTTTCACTACTCGGATTTCCAGAGCTGTTTTCTAGGGAACTCTGAAATTCAGGGTTCATTATGAGCGTTACTCTGATTTGTCAGAGAAAACTTCACTTCTGAAAAATTTACTCTGGGCACCCAGTGTACCTATTTTTCCAACTCTGAGTGCCCTCTCAAGTATTGAACCCAGGCCTTCTGCACTCCTACCAAAAAACTACGGTAAGCGTTGTGCTACGCGGTTATCATTAGGATTGCTTACGGACATTATATATTCTCCTTAACCCACCAATTGGGGGGGGGGGGGGGGGGGAGGGAGGGTCGGTCGAAATGCCTATACCCTGTACAGAGAAAAGTACATCCGCCACAAATATACACTGGTCTCTCAGAGTAGCTAAAATCAGAACCCTGACAAATCAGAGAAAACTTATCCTCCAAAAAGCTTACCCAAACACGTCAGAGTGACCCCCTAAAAACCACTCTGATTTTCAGAGAAACAGAGTAATTTACTCTGATAAAAAAACCCCTGTACCGTACAACCCCTTAGGTTCATTTTCCTTGTACCAACCTTCTCGATAGTCGACATCACTCATGCCTAGCTTCTAAGATGGTATCTAGAGCATAGGTCTTTAGGACCTAAGATTAGGGCCCACCGATTACTGCATTACCTGCTGCCCGCGCGCGCCTCGGCTGCACGCGCGCGGCCCTTTTTTTTTTCCGTGCGCGCCACTTAAAGCAGCCCGCGCGCAGCCCGTTTTCGGCCCCGCGTGCCACGTCAGTCACCCGCGCAGCCTGCCGCCGGCCCGCGCGCCGTGTAAGCCGCCCGTGCGCAACCCACTTAGGCCCTGCGCGCCGCTTCCGTGTAGCCCGTTTTAGGCCCCACGCGCCGTGTAGCCCGTTTTAGGCCCCACGCGCCGTGTAGCCCGTTTTAGGCCCCACGCGCCGCGCCAGCCACCCACGCAGCCTGCCGCCAGCCCGCGCGTCACCACGAGCAGCCCGCAGCTGCGCGCGCTGCCCGTAGCCTCGTGCCTGCTGCCGCCTGCCTGTCGCCTGCCTGCCTGCCTGCTTGCTGCCTGCTAGCTGTCTACTGCCACCTGCCTGTCGCCTACCTGCCTGCCTGCTTGCTGCCTACTGCCGCCTGCCTGCAGCCTGCCTATTGTCTGCCTGATGCCGCCTGCCTGCTTGCTGCCTGCCGCCTGCCTGCTGCCTGCCTGCCAGCCTGCTTGCTGCCTGCTGCCGCCTGCCTGCCGCCTGCCTGCAGCGTGCCTGCTGCCTTCCTGCTGCCGCCTGCCTGCTTGCTGCCTGCAGCCTGCCTGCCTGCCTGCTTGCTGCCTGCTGCAGCCTGCCTGCAGCCTGCCTGCAGCCTGCCTGCAGCCTGCCTGCTGCCGCCTGCCTGCCGCCTGCCTGCAGCCTGCCTGCTGCCTGCCTGCTGCCGCCTGCCTGCTTGCTGCCTGCATCCTGCCTGCCTGCCTGCTTGCTGCCTGCTGCAGCCTGCCTGCTGCCTGCCTGCTCCTTGCTACCTGTTGCCGCCTGCCTGCTTGCTGCCTGCTGCCGCCTGCCTGCAGCTTGCCTGCTGCCTGCCTGCTGCTTGCTGCCCCTGCCTCCTGCCTCTGCCTCCTGCCTCCTACCTGGTGCCTGCTGCCTCTGCCTGCTGCCTGCTGCCGCCTGCCTTAAGCCAATATGGCGACGCCTAACGTTCTAGCGTTCGAGCCTGACGGTCGTCCCATCGAGTTCACTGTGTGGTTAGACGATCTCCAGCTGTTCCTTCTGACTGATGCCAAAGAGGGTGTCTCACTGTTCGATTACGTCTCTGGCACTGTCGTTACTCCTGCTGCTGATGCTCCTGCTCTAGAAGGCCCCCAGTGGCAGACTCGTGATGCTGCAGCACGCCTAGCTATTAGGAACCACCTGCCGATTACTGAGCGAGCGCATTTCAGCCAGCACAGAACTGCTAAGACACTGTACGACGCTGTAGTTGCGCGCTACTCCTCCCCGGCCACTGCAGCCATAGGTCGACTCATGCTACCGTACCTGTTCCCCGATCTTTCCTCGTTCACCACTGCTGAGGACCTAGTTTCTCACCTATGCGCTACAAACTCTCGCTTTCGTGCCGCCCTTTCAGCCGAGTTCTGCGCCGCAAACCCCCCCCCGATGTACTTCACTCTCTATTTCCTCGTCACCCGCCTCCCTGACACTCTTAGCTCAGTCAGGGACCACTTCCTAGCGCTAGACCCCACCACTCTCACTGTCGACGACTTCGAGAAGCACCTCCTCGCAGCAGAGAAGAACATCCTCGCTGTAGGTGCTGCTCGTGGCACTCCTCACTCTCCCCTCTTTGAGGGGTGCTCCCCCTCCCCTCTCACCCCCTCCTACGCCTCCGCAGCTGCTGCTCACGACTACCTTGGTGCTGAGGGGGTCGGAGCTGCTTCCGCTCCTAGTGGGAAGCGTCGCAGCGGCAGGGGCGGCAGGGGTGGCAGGGGCGGTGGGGGTGGCGGTGGAGGTGGCGGTGGTGCAGGCGGCGGGGGAGGTGGAGGTGGTGGGGGTGGTCGTGGGGGTGGAGGCGGTGGAGGTGGTGGTGGGGGCGGCGGAGGCACTGGGAGCGGTGGAGGGGGCAGCAGCGGCGGTGGGGGAGGAGGGAGCGGTAGTGGCATTGGTGGTCAGGGCCAGCAGCAGCCGCAGAAGCAGCAGCAGCAGCAGCAGCAGCAGCATCAGCGTCAGTGCCAGACCCCCACTTCCCAGCAGCTTCTTGACTGGTATGCCGGGCGTGGGGCTTCTGGGGGTCCTGGTCGCTGCCCCTATATCATCCGCACAGGTCCCCGCGCTGGTCGCCAGTGCACAGGTTTTCACACTGAGCAGCGCTGCTTCGCTCCGCTTAGCGACGCCTGGCGCGCCAAGTTTCCTGATGCTCCTGAGTTCCCCAACTGGGCAGAATTACTTAGGCGTGATGTACCTATCTTTGATCTTGACTATGAGGCAATTCTTGCTGCTATGTATGCCTTGTCTGTTAGTGCTGAGGGTGACTGCTACTTGTGTGTGCCGCCGGATCCTGGTATAGCCCCTGCAGCACTAGGTGCTTGTGAGTCTGCTCCCCTTGGTACTGCGCCTGCACAGGCTTTGCACACCTTTACACTTGACTCTGGTGCTTCCCGCTGTTTCTTTCGCGACAGTACCACAGTCACTCCCCTCCCTGCACCTGTTCCTGTCTCACTGGCTGACCCCTCTGGGGGCCCGGTGCTTGCACGGTCTTCCACTGTGCTTTCGTGTCCGGCGGTCCCGTCTGGTGAGCTGTCTGGTCTCCACCTCCCCTCGTTCTCTACGAACTTGGTGAGTAACGCTGTCCTCCAGGATGCGGGGGTTGACACCTTCACCCCTGGCCGGCAGCGTGTGGCGATTTGCACGTGCTCCTAGACTGGTCGCCACCTGGCCACGTTTGCTCGTGCGCCAGGGTCCAGTCTCTACACCCTCACCACTGCGTCACGCTCCACCCCTTTGTCTCCCTTGTTGCACGCGCCTGCTCAGGTAGTTACACAGTGTGAGTGTCGCCGACTGTCGCACGACACTCTCCTGTGGCACCACCGCCTTGGTCACCCCTCCCTGCCTCGCCTACGCAGCATGCACTCTCGCGTCCTGGTTTCTGGTCTCCCCAGGTCTCTGCCTCCCCTCCCTCCCTCGCGTGCGCCGCCCTGCATTCCCTGCGTCGAGGGGCGGCAGCGCGCCGCTCCTCACTCCTCCTCGTTCCCTCAGACAGAGGCTCCACTGCAGACTCTCCACCTGGACGTGTGGGGCCCAGCCCGCGTCCGTGGACAGGGCCACGAGCG